AAAGGGAATCGTGCACCGCAAGACAATGAGCAATACAGTAATGCCTCGGTATAACATTCTCGGCTGAAAACGTACTCTTGACTGTGACTCTTCTTAATATAACTTTTACTTTCTGACCACAGATTGGTCATGATAATATATTTGTTTATATATAATAGGCAGCACTTTTTGCACATTGGAAAAACATGGTGGTTAGCGGGGCTGGCGGTACAACGAGGAGCGGGAGGGTTTGGGGGTGGGGGGGGGGGGGGGGTACAGAGAGGATTGACTGTATCGTTAATGTTTTTCCTTTTGGGAAAGGCCTAAAGACACTTCAGTAAGTGGCATAGCTATGGGGGGGGGGGGGAGTTGTTTGTTCATAACAATAAAAGTTAGATCTAAATAAAGCAGTTCAAGACACTCTGTCGCACACGCACGGTATACCGCCATAATTACATGTATCTCTGTCTGTCTGAAGGGATGTCGTATCCCATTCAGTCCGGTTGGCCTTGAAAGGTGGGGTAGACACAGCCCACTTTCTTAAAACGACCTTTAAATGCTGTCGGAGAGGGTGTAATTCAAAATACATGTAAAACATTTTCAATAAACAAGCATGGTGGTGTGGCGTGATCGCTGACAGACAGTGAGGTGCATGTACATGTATGGCATTGGGGTGATAATATTATTATGGTGTGTGAATTGTTCGTATTTTATATTTGTGTTTGAATGCATGTGCGGTTGTGTATGATATGTGAAAATGAAAATTTGGGTCGGCAAGTGACAACACAGGAGGAATGGGTGGCTAAATTGTGCTGGTTTTATCGCCCTAATCGTAAGTAAGAGGAAACGCATTTTTTCCCCAATATTTTTGAAGTCGTAAGTCTCGCCAGCATCCCTCTCTTCCTTTTTCTTGCTTCTACAACGAATACAGAGCACGCACTATCCATCCTTCTAGCGCTATCTCTGCCCTTTTATCAATACCGGTACCGGCTACAAAATTTTAAAGTGATAAATTTAACGCCCCAAGTTGCAACACTGTACACGCAGTTCGATTTTAACGACCATCTCTGATAGGACCGAGCCAGATGAGAAGACTGAATGTAGCCTCTCACAAGAGCACAGCGTCAGACCAAGATGATCCTCGCACCCCACATACCAGTAATCTCCCTATTACTATTACGAGTCCGGTATCCTAACCACAAGACTACCCCATTATAATATGTTATTATTATCATCATCATCATTATTATTATTATTATTATTATTATTATTATTATTATTATTATTATTATTTATTATTATTATTATTATTATTATTATATATTCATTATAATATTTATTATGTCGCATACTTTGTATGATGGCGATGGTATATTATCCGACCATTATAATTATACATGTACCGTCACGGGACCGTCACTTCCCTTGATTTTTCTTTAATTTTAATTAATAGCTCAAGATTTAGCTCTATTCTTACCTTTGCCTTACGATTATTTTTCGTTATCATAGAGTTATCTCCTTTTATACTAGTGTCGTGTACATCTATGTTCGTATTCACACTTTACTCAAATTATGGATGTGTCGAACACATTAATTGTCAATTCCCGTCGTGATCTAGATATCCGTGCTAGAACTCGAAGGTAATTTGAGAGAGAGAGACAGAGAGTAGGAAAATAATGGTCTACATTTTAAAAAAAGGAAAATAACTGTCGTGAGTACTACTTTAGGAGTAATTTTCCATTATTACGTCCCCTTACACAGACATTCCAGCGGGACAAAATCTGCACGTCACAACTTGTCTTTGTAGGCTACATACATGGACATTACTGGTGTTCGATGTTTCAGTTTTATGGCAGTTGCCGTTGAAGTATAAATACATGTAGGTCTTCTTAATCCCGAATACTAGATCTACAGGTGTTTTTTTGTTTGTTTGTTTTTTTTGGTGAGTGTTTTACGGACGGTGCTCGCAACTGCATACGGTCTTATGAGCGCGCGGGACGCAACTAACAATAACATTTTCAGTTGGTTGGAAATTTTGAATTTTGCCAGGGTGGCGGCCGAAGCCTACTCTTATCGATTTAAGACCAACAAGGGATCTTTAACGTGCGCAACGTGCACACGGGACCTCCAAGATTTTTCGCCCTTGTCCGAGAAGGCTATGTGTAAATCTTTCCTACCATAAGACCGTGGGTGCAGCGGAAAGACAGAGTAAGAAGGAGCCAAGGAGAAGCATGAGTGGACAGGCTGCAGAAAGAGTCAGGAGCCCAGAGGATGGGGCATAGGAGGTGAGGGGGTGGGGGGCAGAAAGTGGAGACGAAAGCAGACGACAGAATATTGCTAGAGAGCAGGAAAAGAGTTGAAAGAAGACAATTTTAGATAAATTTTTTGCCGTTGCAACCCGGATTCGAACCCGGGACCTTTGAATGAGAGTAACCTCTTGTCCACGAGAGCCCCCTACTACAGATGTTTCTAGAGAGTAACATACAAATAAAAAAGAGACAGAGACAAAGGAAGTCTGATAAGGTAGGAAAAAAAGGAGCAAACCATACCAAAGCAACTGCCAACCAGCCAAGATCTTCTTGTTTAGTTTTTTTTTAAGTTTTAGTAAGAGATTTACGGCACTTGCAACACAATAAGGTCATATAAGTGCCGAAGAATAGATGTGTAACAGGAGAGTAACATACACAAAAAAGAAGGAGGGGAGATAATGACGACAGATGTTTGATAGGAAAGAAGGAGCAAACCACACCAGAGCACCCGCCAACCACCCACATCTTCTTGTTTGTAGTTTGAGTAAGTGTTCTAGTTCTACGGCACTTGCAAAACAATAAGGTCATATAAGTGCCAACGATTAGAGGTGTTACAAGCGAGTAACAAACACAAAAAAGGAGGAGCTGAGATAAGAACGATAGAATGTTTGACGGGAAAGAAGGAACAGACCACACCAAAGCAGCTGCCAATGCTGCCAATCAGCCAAGATTTTCGATGCCTTCGTTTTCGATAGGATTGCTTTGATAAAATCATGAAGTCCGATACGCACCGGCAGTTAGACTCGCCGGATTCACTCGTTGGTTGAATGGAAGGTGTCGCCTATGGGAGTGGTTCAGTGTCAGTTTGGCTGGCTTCAGTTCGACATTTGACATACAAATCAAACAATTTTTGGGGACTTGCACTTGCAACAGGAATGCCGCGTTCCTTTGATTTTTTGTTCAGCCGAGAAGAAAATTTTAACACGTTAAAAACACAAATATCACTCCGATTATAAAAATAATTATATTTTTGAACGCAGCTTGTCAAAATTAACCAAGTCTTCGAGTACGCTGCTCGATTTATTGCTTAATTATAAAATTATATTTTTCCTTATTTGTTGTATATTGTATTTGATAAGTTCAAAATAATCATCAATATCCATATTGTTCTGCCATGACAACAAGGGAATGTTTTGTTGTCTACTTCTTGCGTGGTGTGGATTCACACCGTGTTCCGGGACGGGTTTACTCGACAGTTCTACTCGAACAAGTCTAACTGCAGGTGTGTAGTGGGCTGTAATAGTTCATCGGTTAGAGAGAGAGAGAGAGAGAGAGAGAGAGAGAGAGAGAGAGAGAGGGAGAGGGAGAGGGAGAGAGAGAGAGAGAGAGAGAGAGAGAGAGGAGGGGAGAAAGAGGGAGAGGGTAGAGAAAAGGGGTGGTGGGGAGAACTTTATACTGAGGTTTTGTTTTAGTTTTAGTAGAGATTTTACAGCGCTCGCAACTGCATAAGGTCATATGAGCGCCAGAAGATTAGAGGTGTTACAAGAGAGTAACAAACATAAAAAAGAAGGAGGGGGAGATAAGGACGATAGATGTTTGATAGGAAAGAAGGAGCAAACCACACCAGAGCACCCGCCAACCACACAGGTTTTATTGTATTACTCATCCATTATGAAAGGAAACAATAATTACATGTACATGTATCTTCTTTTTTTACCTGCTGCTCGCGCTCCCCTCGTCCTTCCTCCTCTTTCATTGAGGCATCTAGTTGACTAAGTTTGTACTATTACTTTGTAGGCCTATTGCCTGTTGGCTGGCTCTACAACATGATTGCAAACTAATTTTTATGTTAAATAGGCCTACCACTTGCCATTTTATAGATATGCTCAAACTCAAACACAAAAATAGACTCACAAGATCTTTCATTGTCCAGTCTATGGTCGAGTGCCCATTCACATGTGGGGGAAGTGAGGAAAATTTGTGTAAAGTGCTTTTCCCAAGGAGACAACATCAGGCCTGAGGCTTTTGTTAGTTTAGTTTTACATGTAGTAAGGTTTTACAGCGCTTACAACTGCTTAAGGTCGTATGAGCGCCAAGGGGATGGGATGTCAACAGAGAAGTCCAAACCGGGAATCAGGCTTACTCAGCTCATCTCTCTAGCCTCAACAGCACAAAGTCTACTTCAACTATCAAGGCACCCCGAAAATAGCAGTTCACAAGAGAGTGACAAATATACAATTTACAAAAGAAGTCGAGGAAAAATGACGATAGTCAGAATGAGGAAAGAAAAAGCATCAGTTCTCCCTAGGCTGTTCCCGCACAGTATGAGCATGACATTGATAAATCAGCTCATTTACAATTCTACTGTGTATAAGATTAAGAACATATTAATATCCCCCCTTTGGGAATGGTCTAACGACAACTTCAGTCAGTAGCACTGCCTTAGTGGTGGAGTAATCATCTCCTTCAAACAAAGGGTCATTGACTGCACAATAACATGTACAAAACAATGACGGGTGTCCAAATTGAAAACAACTTTTTGAGTAATAAATACCACCTCAGCAGTCTAAAACTGAAGCTCAATCTTAATTACTGTCAACAGAGCAAATTTGTGGTGGCAAAAAAGAGGCTGGTTATTAATAATTATAACATGAGAAAGAAACATCACATAACAATCACAAGAACATGAAGAAACTTTCATACAAACAATCACACAAGTGAATTTTCTAAAGCAAAACGACAGTCTGAAGTCAAGTCTTTTTGAAAAACAAATTAACGTGAAATAACAACGTTTTAATGGGCTTTTCCCTCCAATTCAAGGGATTCACAAAGGTAATGTTGTAGCCAATTGTGTGATCAGGTTTACTTGCAGATTTATACATTGTACTTATGACTCAAAAGATTTACATGATCATTCAATTTTTTTAAAAAGTCAAAGTATTCCAAATCCATTTTTAAACCAAGTCAAACGGAAATATGGCAATTGCAACAAATTGAAAAAGCAAGATCAATGTCAGAATAAGTTGGGTTTTTTTTCTGAAAACTGCAGTCGAGTTGCCTTTAATTTTTATAAATAGACGTCCACCCTAATTTTAAAAAACAAGAGCAGTGATTTACATGAATAAGAGAAAGACAGCAGATATTGGGAAAGACATTTTTAAAAGACCTCGAAGAACTCAAAATGTCCATGAAATCGTTGCTCCATTTTATGCAGAGGTCTCCTAGATGTGCCAATATGTACCATACTTAAATATAATAATTTGACTTTGTGAAATAACTCTTAAGGAGTAAATGTTCACAACATTTGATTCACTGCATCCCTGGTGTTCCTCTAAAAAAAACTTGGAAAATGTTAAACATTTTGGGTGCAGCTTGCTACAACATTCAAAATAAACATAGCCTGATAATGAAACAAGCAATAAAAAGTTCAGAAAAAACAACAACAAACAAACCCAGTGAAAGCCTGAACTATGGGAACAAAAGTCAGAAGGTAGTCCTCCTTGATACACTAGTAAAAACTACCGACACAACACGGCACATTTTTTTTCCAAGAAAGACTTAGCGGTACTGTTTTAGTTGACGATTTACTGCACTACGACGGTCTATCGTGACTCCCACCTGATTGACCATGGTCTAATGCCATTTAGGCAGATCTAGATCTAGCGTAGTGTAAGTCCATCCTGATTGGTGATGGCAAGGACAGCATTGGTGACATTTAGACCAAAAATGGTCATGTGACACTGAGATGCAGTTTGTGGATTGCTTCATTTTGCTGCATCATTTAGATGATAGAATTTTTGAGATGGTAAATATTATGATTGGCAAGTAAATTGCGATAAGTGCCCAGACAAAACTATTTTTTAGAAATCAAGGGGGCACCCCCCCCCCACACACACACACAAGATCTTCCCATTCCCAACCCTGACAAACTACAACCACCAAAACATTTTTAATATGGCTTATGACAGTTCCAATCTTGTATACGCAAAGTGAATAGATCTATATAATATCATTAATATAAACTGATCTTTGTCACAAATCCAAAGGGCTATATAAACTGGTAGACCTTAAATAAACCAGTTGTCAGACCAGACCAGTAGTAGACCTTCAACTAAACTAGCACCGACTTATCATCATTGCATTATCTCATTTGGACCTAACATTTGCTGGCACAAAACTCCTCTTCAATAGAAGTTGAAAATACACAGATTCAACTGCATACAAAACATCAAATTTGTTGTGACATTTTCATCCGTCTATGATCTATGTTTGGTTAGAGTTTTACGGCACTAGCACCAACATCAGGTCATATGAGCATGCATGTGTCTATCTATTCTATCTCAGTAAGAAATGAACATAATCACAGAAAGATTGTAAATGAGAAACAAAAAAATGATGGTTACGCTGCAAAGAAAATTTCTGAAACATCTGCTTATTAAACATTGTACTTGTTGAAACATATAATTCCAGTTCCATTCCAATAAAACAAAATTTACTAACTACATGTGCTCCAGCTGAAGAGGCACGAGTAAGTCAGCTGAGGCACAGGTGACAAGTGTAAATGTATAATACACAATCAATGGCGGATAAGTTTTATAGTTCATGATTTCTTATCGCCGTCTTCCGCATCCAGCAGCACAGATCTAATGCCCAGCTTCTGGAGCTCGTCAATGAGCTCCCCATTCTTGTGCATGTCCAGCATGATGTCACAGCCACCGATGAACTCGCCGTTGAAGAATACTTGGGGAATTGTGGGCCAGTTGGTGTGATCTTTGACTCCTGAAGAACAAATTCAAGCAAAATTGTTTACTTTCAGACGAAATAAAGTTTCATACTTGGAAGTGTATCATTTCCCATAGATTCGGTATTTAACAGATCAAGAAAAGCTAAATTTAAAACAAAAGGGGTAAGATACAAATTGTCATAGAATTTACCACTGCTAAATCAAATATAAAGTCACCACATCATTGACCTCATCTGGGGGCTCTCGTGGACTAGAACTTGAGGTTAAAGAGTTGGCCTTGCATTCAAAGATCCTGGGTTCAAATCCAGGTAGCGACCGAAAAATTTTCTAATTCTAAAATTACCTCCTTTCCTGCTCTCTGGCAATGTTCTGTCGTCTGCTTTCGTCTCCTCTTTCTGCCCCCACCCCCTCACCTCCTTTGCCCCCTCTTCTGGGCTCATGACTTTTTCTGCAGCCTTTCTACTGCTACTCCTTGGCTCTTTCTTACTGCTGTCTTTCAGCCACACCCCTTATCTTCTGTTAGGAAAGATCTACACCTAGCCTTCTAGGACATGGGCGAAAAATCTTGGAAAGCCCGTGTGCAAGTTGCGCACCTTAAAGATCCCTTGGTGGCCTAAAATCGATAAGAGTAGGCTTCGGCCGCCACCCCGGCAAAATACAAAATGTTCTACCAACTGAAAAAGTTTAATGTGTCCCGCACACTCATATGACCTTATGCTGTTGCGAGCGCTGTAAAACACTTACAAAAATTTTTTTTTTTAAATTGACCACATCTATTGGATGGCAAAACTTTTTATAATGAGTCTATTTTTTACACATGGCATACTGATATGAGCCTAAGTGGCATGAAAGCACCGGGATGTTGGGCGAAGACTCCTGTATAAGTAGGCTATAGCCGTAGAGTCATAGTATGGCATAGAAGTAGGTTTTTGTTTCAGTAGTAAGCGTTTTACGGCACTTGCAAGACAATATCTCTGGAAAGCGAATGCCTCAGTCACCAAAGATGTGCCTCATCAAAGAAAACTGCCTTTCTACCTCGGCTGTGGATGATGGCAAAACAGAGATTATATGAACCAAATGAGACGGACTGGGAAATGTCCTTGCTTTTTTCAGGATTGAACTTGTCTTGTTCTCATTCAGAGGTAATAAGCCCTGACTTTCGGAGAGATACATAGCCACTCTTTCTTTATTTTCAGTGTTGAGCATCCTTGGTGTTGAAGCAGTCTCAAAATGAGCTATCAAGTCATCCATCTGTGTCTCACCATATTCTTTCACTCGGCTAATCCATTTTGTCAGTTTCAGGCATACTTGTCCAGTCAAATATCCTTGCACTCTTCAAAACTTTATCTTCTGATGTGCCAGAAAATCTTTCTACCAAGCACAGCACCAGCTTATCCAACACATCTTTCATGCTTTTTTTTTTTTGGGGTAATCATCACACTTGCACTGTTGCTCTTTCTCTCACATCTGCAGTCTTCTTTTTCATCCAGAACTTTTTTCAGACACAGCTGAGGTTTGGTTATCATTGATGTGAGTGTGTTTGCACTAGCCATGACAAAATGGAAACAATTGTCAAGCTGAGCAGTGTCTGACTGAAGTTTTGATGAGATTTCAGACAACTCTG